TGTCAGCCTGGACCCCTGGCCTGGCTAAGTGTACCCTACTGCAAGTGTGGCTTATTAAAACACTTTACTGGAGTCGAGAGATCCCTCAGTAATGCTTTCTATGTGCCTCAGTTTCCTCATTTGTGAAACAGGGACAAAACATTTACCTAATATCTTCCCCAAAGAAAAAAAATCATTTTATTATAAGGACATCTGCACTAGATTGTTTATCACAGGTCAATTCACAATCACCAGGATGTGGAAACAACCGAAGTGCCCATCAACCTAGGAATGGATTAATAAACTGTGGTATACGTATACCACGGAATACAATTCAGCCATAAAAAGATGGACATTTTACATCTTTTGTATTAACCTGGATAGAGCTGGAGAACATTCTCTTTAGTAAAGTATCGTAAGAATGGAAGAGTAAGTATCTGATCAATGTATTCAACACTAATATGAAGCCAGTAGATGAACTAGTACAATTTAAGTTGGGGGGGCAGGAAGGAGGGGGTTTGGTATGTTCTCACCTAATGGCACACCTCTGGGTGAGGGGCTTTACTTAACAAATGCAAACATTGTAACCTAATCATTTGTACCATCGTATTAATCTGAAATAAAAAACATACCTCATAGGTTTTTTAGCAAGTACCATATTTGCTGTGTAAACCATGTCCCCGTGTATCATACACACCCACATTTTTGGCCCAAATTTTGAAGAAAATGACCCTTGAGAAAGTGGCTGCCTCTCAGCTGGGAGAGACGCATCTGGAGGGCGAGGGCTCCCCTGGTAAACGTGCAGGTCGCACTGCCCTCCCACAGCCGCACTCTCTGTGAAGGCTGCCCCTTTCCTTCCGCTACACAGGGGGCTGTGGCTGAGATGGTCACATGTGTGGCCAGCAAGGCAGGAGCTTCTGAGGCCACTTGGTCTGCAGTCAGCCATGTGGGTCCTAGAACCTGTGTGGGGCTCCTGGTCTCTGTGCAGTTGGGGGTTGGGCCTTGGCCCTCAGTCCTTGCCCTACAAGGCTGCAGCCTGCTTTGCCAGCCCTGCCACCACCCCCTCTCTGGACCGTGGCACTTAGAACAGGCTGCTCTAGCCCACTCCCACCAAATCCTGGATGCTAGCAGACTGGAACACAATGGCGGGCCCAGGTGAGAGGTCGTGTAGGCCCCAGGAGGGCTATGAGCTCCCCACTCCTGAGCCATGCTATCCATGTATAATGTGCATCCTTATTTTCTCCTCAAAAGTTTAGGCAAAAAATCTGCATTATATGTGGCAAAATATGGGATATTAGCAGATGCCCAATGATGACCACTCATTGTCCCACCTGGCCTACAACAGATGCCCATGACATCTTGATTCAATACATATCTTCATTCTTTGAAGGTTGCTGTGATACTCAATGGAATCATCAGTTTGGAAAGAGGCATCAACATGCAGAAACTAGTTAAGGGAAGTGAGAAGATGCTTTTTGAGCCCCTTCCTCCCTCTCATGCTAAGAAGGTCGAGCAACTTGTGGAACTATTCCCCTGTCCAGAGTAACAGCAGAAGGCTATTACAGACATAATGGAATCCAAACTATTGAATTTCAAGCCTCCTCTTCAGTGTTTCTCCCAATCTCAAAGCCAAACAACAGACCTAGGAAGCTGAGAGAAAGGAAGCTGTAGCCTTAAATTGGTATTTACAAGAAGTAGCCACCCCAGGGAGGCCAGCAGAGAGGAGATGCTCTCACATTGCATGTGTTTACACAAAGATAAAATCCTGATGACCTGCCTAGGTAAGTGATCTTTAAGAGCTTATCCAACCCTAAGTTCTGTGGTATTTAGGAAAATAAACAATTTTGTTTTCATCCTCTCTTGGCTGCTGGGCCTCTGCATGTCCATTACCTAGGGAAGTACAAATCAGAAAGAAAATTGGCCCCCAAAGCACAAAACAGGAAGGAGAAAGAGATACAACAACCTCCAGTCCATGAATTATTCATATTTAAGCATCTTCACTTGTTACTGGCAGAGGGGTAATAAAGTCATTTTAACTAAGCAATATGTCCTCGCAGGATACCTTCGGTTCATTTTGCATTTGGGCTGGGTCAATGATGACCTCATCGTCTTTGTACAGATCTGTATGCACTTTTTTCTTTCTCTTTTAAATAAGGCATCTTTTTGTCAAAAACTACAGACATCACTAAAGAATAGTCTTTGGAATCAGGTAGGCCAGACTTTGAATCTGGGGTGAGCTATTTAAACTTCAGTCACGTCTCCTTATTGTGTGCTGGGGTTCGATACATGCCTTCCAGGGGTGTCTCGAGAGCTTCATTAGAAATCAGTAATCCTGGGGGCATGTGATAAATGTTCCAGCCTGCCTGGCTCGTTCCCCTCTTTCTTTCTCCTGCTAAAACACACAAGGTCCAGTTGTGGGTCTGCCCTCCCTGGCGGTGCCTGGAAAGGTCTGTGCCACATACAAACCCTGCAGGAGGTGCAGGTGGGTGAATGAGCAGCCGCAGGGCTTCCTTATGCTGGGAAGAAAGACCGCTGATCCTGAACAAGGCTGGGTTATGCCTGCAGAGTACAGAAACCTCAAAAGATGACTAAACTTCTGAGGAAGCTATTTTTAAATGGTCCCCTGCTGTGACACAGTCTTTCTGAAGGTTCACTGCAGTCCCATTGTAGCTTGCCACCTGGCCTCGCGCACTCCTGTTGGTTTATCCCCATCTGCTGGTACAGGGTGAAGATCCTCCTTTCACAGCGGCCCAAGGAGCCTTTGTGTCCTAGCACCACACAGAGGTTCCCACCAGCACTGAGATCTGGGAGGAGGAAGCCTAAGTTTCCGGGACAGAAGAGAAACAGGGCTTCTTATGAAAGAAGGGAGATGTTATTTTCTAACTTACCATGAGTTGCTTAGCTGTTGTTCATCCTCAAGTCTGCTTCTCTCTCTGGTGTGAGACTGGAGAAAGGTGACGATCTACTCTGCAACTAGGGCTTGAAACCTTCACCGCTGTGGAGTTTGCTCCTGGAACTGCAGGTGAGGCGGAGCTCAGCAGAACCATCTGTCTCCATCCCGGGGAAGCATTAGCTGAGACAGTCTGAAGCTAAATGGGGCGACCCAATGGCTGAGCACTAGAATCTTCTGAAGGCTTTGCTCCCTCACACATCTTGCCGTTGATGCTGGCACTGGTGGGACTGCTGTGAAGGTTGCTGTCCACACTCCTGGGCTTGATTTCTCTCTAAGGTGTGAACCAGGTCAACGGGGCAGAAAGGGTATTACATTTTACGACCTACCCTTGCAGGTCACTTAACATCTCTTCCACCCTTAGATTCACAGAGAAGGTGCAAGGCCCCTCCCCTCCTGGGAGGGGAGCCAGCATCACGTTGTAAGACCAGCGACCTTGTCGTGGCCAGCAGGACAACAACTATCCACCACGAGTGGAACTGGTGGAGGAATGGAGGCAGGGGCTACTTGTCTGACCATTAAGTCAGAGCTATATTTTTTCATGTTATACAGTTTTTGAAAGCTGGAATAATGGAGGTAGGTAGGGGTGGAGAAATGGTAATATTGTAGAAAACAAGTAGGATTTTAAGAAAAGATTCCATTGATTAGGGACCCACTGTGAAATGCATAACCCAAACCATTTATTTATTTAATTTTATTTTAACTTTTAAAGACAGGGTCTCACTATTTTACCCAGACTAGTTTCAAATTCCTGGGCTCACATGATCCTCCTACCTCAGCTTCCCTACTAGCTAGAATTACTCTAACTGTTTTTACACCAACCAGAGGATGAAATCTTGCTTAGAAAGGCCTTCCCTACTTCAAGAATATTCATTTATGAGTTCTAATATTTTTAAGATTTAACTTTTGGGTGGTGCCTGTGGCTCAAAGGAGTAGGGCGCCGGCCCCATAAGCCGGAGGTGGTGGGTTCAAACCCAGCCCCGGCCAAAAACTGCAAAAAAAAAAAAAAAAAAAAATTTAACTTTTGATGCATCTGGAAATTATTTTGATGATGAGGAAGGCTTGGGTTCAGACTGCTTTTTTCCCAAGCTGGAACATGTTTATTGAATAATCATATTTTACTCATTGATTTGAAATTTTATGATATGCTAAATTGCTATATATTTTAGGGTCCACTGGTAGACTCAATTACGTTTACCTACTTTATCCTACCAAGATAATGCCCTGCTCATGAGGTTTGGAGCTAGACAGAGCTGGGAGTAAATGTAGAAGCAGCTACTTGAACTCTTTACGCCTCAATCTCTTTCTCTGTAAACTGGGGCTAATTCTGCACACCTGGGTTATTTTCAAGATGGTTCTCTGGGAAGCTGACTCCGAGATGGAGATCTGTGTGCAGGGTGTTTCTCAGGAAGTACCCTCCAGATCAATAACTGTGGAAGGGGTGGGGAGGCAGCAGGGTGGAGGGTGATGCTGGGTGCAGCACAGCCTCAGCTGAACTCGCTGGAGCCCTGATGTTCACACAGCCCACCTCTGTTGCCCTGGGTTAGACGGGTGCTGCATGGGGCTACCATGGAAATGGGCGTGGCAAGGGGGAGGTGGCTCTCTGCAGCAGAGGCAGTCCCTGAAGGAGAAGATGGGCAGCGCGCACTCCCTGCCTCCAAGTCCTTTGTCGAGGAGGGTTCTCAATTGCACACCACACAGCACCTCATCTGAAGACTTCTTCCTCTTTCCCAACTCTGTGAGTGAAAAGCAGTGCAGCAGAGCTTCCCGCCAGAAGGCTCCTTGTCCAATGCCCTCAGCTACATGGATGTGTCAGAGATGTGGAGAAGACGCTGAAGGGGTATAGGGTGGAATGAGACAGAAGAAGATGAGATAATGCTGTTTAAATGAGATGAGCTGGGCAGGGATTGAACAAGCCCAAAGCTTTCATTTTAGGTGATTTTTTTGGGTTCATGTCTAGATTAAAAAACTGACTCTAATGAAAATGTGAATGTGATTAACCAGGCGGCGGAATGATCCCATGATTACAAAGCATCACCTTAGAGACGTATTTGCAGGGCTCAAACAAGGCGAGGTCATCAATTTGCTTTTCCTTTTATTATAAAAGTAAAATAAAAAATAGCATTTATAAATCCAATATCTTTTCCCTTAAAGTTTTGATCTAAAAAACATATTTACAATAGCAAAATGCAGAAAAGGGGGGAAAGAAAATAGCATTTTCAGCACAGATTGTAATCATGTTTAAATATTGACAAGTGTGTGTTCTCTTTTTTTAAATCACAGAGATAGCAATCTTTGAAAAAGCAATATGTCTTTTTTTTTTTTATTGCACACTAAGTGACTCTCATTTTAAAATACTCTTTTCTTAATTCTTGATTTGAAGGTTCTGGATGGCTGGAGAGTAGGCAGAGTGATACCTTTTAATGATAGCAGGAGGCAGCAGGGGACAGCAGCAATCACAACAGAAGCGACTGTGATCTGGGAGCAGCCAGCAAAGCTCGGTAAGCCACCCCTCCCCAGACACAGCACTCAGCCGAGCACTGTGATTGCTAGGTACGAGCTGCAAGTGAACCCAGCTAAAATTCATTTATGAGCCAAGAAAGGAAGCCAAGTTTAGAAGGCCTTGAATTAAGTCAAGAATGATTCTGCTTTTCTTCTGAGCACCTCTGAACGCACTTTACCTTCCTTCCTTTGGGCAACGCAGTGGAATTTTAGGACTTTGGTTTACACAGAGTGGGAAATTGCCAGCAGGCTAAATCTTGCCTTCTATAGGTCCTTCCTGCCCGTAATCATGGGGCATTTTGTTAAGAGTTAGCAATGGGCTGCCACTGGTCAGAGACTCCGTAAAGCTGAGTTTGCGGAAGGATGTCTCCACGCCGCTGTCACAGACGCTGTCGTTGTCTCGAAGCTCATCTGTGGGGAGAAAACATGACTTTACTGGGGAGATGGCAAGGACCAAGGCTTTCCTGCATCTTTTGCTTCAGCTGGGCTCCAACCTCAACTCTACAAGGTTTGTGCACTACTCTGTGGATGGCTCTTGCCCACTGGCTTCACAAGTCAGCACATTTCCCCCACGCTACCCCCCATCACGACGGTTCACAAGGGGGTGAGAGGCAGGAGATACCATCTAACACACACACTTGCAAGCACATCAGAATTAGCCCAATGTTTTCACATTTTTCTCTTGCAAGCTTGTGTTTATGAGAATCCTGTCTGAGTTCTCTTGACTCATAGTGTACCTTCCCCCCCCACAGAAATCAGGTACATTTTTCCAACCACTCTATTACTTATTTTATAACTGGGGAAACTGCTGAACCTAAGCAAAATAAACTGGTAGCTGAAGGAGGAACTAAAAATGAGATCTCTCTCTGGGCCTCAAGTGCTACTGAACAGTATATATTGCCTTGAAAATATTTTTGGTAGCCAAAATAAAATGTGATTTTGATGAAAGTGAGTTCACACTGGAAAATTAGGTTGAGTATTTCTCATTGAGAAGTATCCTTAGGGATCTGACCAGTGTGAATTATTTCCTGTACAGATAGAACAGGAGAAGTCTAATAAACTTCACCCTTGAAATTAAAATCTACCTTCTTATGTATCAGATTCTGATATTAAAATAGTAAGACTTCAGTGGTAGTGTCATGGCTATCATCTGGGTGTTGCCTGACTTAACCCATTTTTATTTGGTATCTATTATATGCTAGGAATAATGCTGTAACGTAAAAAGTATCTACAAATTAAGGGTTTAATGCTTATGTATTTACTTTGGCCTTTACTTTTAAAGAAGTAAGTATTTACTTTCTTCTGTGGCTATCTGTGCAGAAGGAGTATGGGACCAGGAGACGGGAGATCTGGGTGGTTTACCTGGTGTTCGCGTTTTTCCTTTCTAAGTGTGCACAGTGACACCTACCCTTACTCCCCTAGGAAGGCCCCTGGCAGGCTGAAACTGAATGGCAGGAAGAGCCAGCCAGGGAAGAGCTCTCTAGGGAAGGGGATGAGAGGATTCAAAGGCCCGAGGCTCCCTCAGACTGGTGTGCTGGGGGAGCACAGGGAGGGCAGTGGGAGCAGAGTGCATCAAAGTGACATTTAGAAGAGAGAATGGGTAAAGCAGGGATGTGGCTGGGTACGCAGTGCATACTCAGTGGGGATCTGCTGAATAAATAAAAGAACTAGAGTGGGCCACAGGAGGAACAAAAACTCATTAATTTTTAAGAAGAATCAAACTGCCTGTTGGGCAGAAAAGGGACTGAAGGGAGGGCTGACAAAAAAGAATCAAGGAGGACGATCAGGAGCTCCTGTGGGTCTGGCGGGGGTGGGGTAGGTGAGGGGGCTGGGGGGCACGGAGTGAACTCAACCTGGGTGGTCATCAGGGAGGACACTTGATGGAGCTGATGTGAGCACTAGAAGGGACTCAGGTAAATCTTACACTGTGTCTTCACCTCCCAGAGGAGAGCTGTGCTCTAACTAGTGTGGCCAGTATGGGGTTTGGGTGGGGCTCCAAGACTTCTGCACGGAGTCAGGAGGGCTTTCCCTGCCTGGAGGGCTGCAGCTAGGAGGGGAGGTGGAGGAGGCAGCCAGTGGCTCGTGCTCCAGAATGGCTGAGAGGGAGCCAGGCTGAAATAGCAGGGAGGGTCAACTGTAGCCGAGGCCTCAAGTGGTGAAGGAGGGCGACTAGATCTGGCAACAGGGAAGTTAGTCACTGATGAGAGCCGACCTGGTGGGGTGGGGGGAATGGAACTCAAGTGCAGGGGGTCAAGTTGAGGAAAAAAGGTGAAGAGGTGGAAAAAACAGCTCTAAAAAATTCTTCTGAGAAGCTCTGCTCTTCAGGGGAGCAGAGAAATTGGACTAGAGCTAAAGGAGATGTGAGATCAAGGCCTTTTTCTGTTCATTTTGTTTTGAAAGACCAGGAAGTTACAGCATACTTGCTAGGTGAGCCATGGGGAGGGGGCGGGGTAGGGGACTGCTTAGGCAAGGATGATGGAGCAAGAACTTGAGGAAGGTGAGCGGGGAGTGGGTGCGACTGGGGACTCTGGACTCCGGGAGAGGCTGCTGCCCTCATGGGCACAGACACTGAACCCAGCAGAGCTCACATGGAAAGCTGCCAATGTGGGCACAGTGCAGGTGGGCTGGGGGACTTGAGGGTGTAAAGATGGGGGAGTTCGAGTTCCTTCTGTGTTTTCCATGGACTGTTAGGCCAGGGCAGTGCTTGAGTAAGAGCAGGGAAGCCGGGCTGGGGGCTTGGAAAGAAAAAGAGAAGGTGTGAAATGGTTGTTCAGAGAGTGGGAAGATCAGATTATAGAAGTACAGGATCACTGGGCTGTGTCGACAGGCCATTCTGTATGGATATGCGTTTTCTGGATGACACGTGGTCCCTTTACTGGGTAGGAGGAAAGGTCAGTGTCATGAGCACGAGTGAGGAGGCCGAAGGAAGGACCCTGCTGGAGGGAGGAGGTGGAGGAACGGAGGGGCAGCCCAGTGGGAAGGGGACAGTATCAGTTTGGTGCTGACTCTGCAAACCTTGGGCTGGGTTTTTTTTATTTCTCTGTATCTCTCTCTCTCTCTCTTTATATTTAAAAAATGAGAGAAATAACGTTTACCTTAACCATCCACATCATGTTGTTTCTAGCATTTACTGCATTATTTAGTATTCCTTAAGTAACTCAGGGGTCAACATGCTTTTCCGTGGGAATGGCCCCCTCTTCTGAATGGCAGTGTCAGGAGAACAGACGTTAAGCCCCGGGTTAGACAGGCACACTGGAAAACCCATTCAGAAGATGATGGGGAAAGGGCACTGCCACACCTTATCCCAAGAGAGCTGAAGACACCAGCCGGGGGAAGCAGGAAAGTATCTCCAGTGTTTTTCTATCTTTCTGTTTCTTTACCTATTTGCTGCCTTGTGGAAGAAGGTGAGAGAGGCAGCAGGTGGGCCTGAGAGGTGGTCTTCACTGCGCTGGAAGCTGCCTGGATCACTTCGATGGCCTCCGTGTAGCCCATCTGTCTCAGGGCCTCCACCAGTTCTTTGACCGTCCCACCAGAGACCTGTGAGGAGGAAATGAAGGCTGAGTGTGCTCTGGGGCAGAGTCCCCACACAGGCTGTGAACACCAGCACCCCACCTCCCCTCTCCCACAGGGCCTCCTCCACTGACAGAGTGCTGGGTGGTCCTGGGAAGGGTGTGACAAAGAAAACACAGTCTTAGAATCAAGTTTCCTGTTTCGCCTCAAAGGCCAGTCAGGAAATCACAAAGCAGCAGCTTATAGTAAGTGGGCAGAGAGAGGAGAAAGCGGGAGGGAGAGAGTGAGGGAGAGGGAAGAGTGCTGCGGAGTGAACCACTGCCCAGGGGGCAGGCTACACAGCTTCCCTGTGTACCATGAAGCTCTGAAATCCCCTGGAAAACACTAGCCAACCACGACATTTTCAGGAGAGCATCACCAGGTAACAGCTCCACAAGGAGTTCGGTTCTCTCACAGAATTCAGTGCCCTGACACGTGACCAGGGCATGTTCTTGGGGACAGAGAGAGAGGCATGTTGATGATAGTCTATCATGTTTGTTCAGGGGGATTAAAGTTCTGTGAAAACCCTGACCCTATACGTAGCATTTTCACAGGAAGTCTCCAGGTATTTGAAGACAGGGAAAATCTCAAGGTATTTGAAAACAGTGTTCTCAGGAAAACTGGCGTCCATCGTGGCCTGGGTAACCCTCCCAGGTTTGGGGTAATAATTGGTTTTCTTCCTCATAGTTAAGGAACAGAGGAGATTATGTTCTGGCCAGTGATTTTTTTTTTCCTAGTTAATCAATGCTTAATGGAATGTTTACAGATGCTATATTATGTCAACTCCACTAACTGTTAAATTTCGTATTCGTGAACATTTATTTTATAATTTATTGATTTTAAATTCTTTTAATTTCAGAAGAATATGCGGCTATAAATGATTAGGTTACATTGTTTGCATTGCTAAGGTCGCTTCCCTCAGGGGCTGAGCTCACACATGTGCATAGTAGGTGGGAGCTTAGGGCCAGTAATATTAACAGAGTGAAGTCGAATGAAAACTGTGAAATGTATAAGATGATGTGTTACCTCATAGTTGTCCATAAGTGTTTTAGAAGGTACAGGACTCAGCCGGAAGGCATTGTTAAGTATCCCCAGTCCTAACTTCTGTGCCAGAGTAGCCCAGTTTTTGTCTGGATCAGGAATTTCTAGCAACTTGTAGAGCTGCAACTTCGCATCTTCAGTCAGCTGTTTCATGTCTCCTGCAGGCGATGGAGGAAGAACAGAGTCATCTTAATCTACCAGAGACGCTCTGGAGGACCGGTCATGGCCACTTTGCTTGTCCTCCACCTTCCAGTGGAAGCTGACTTCTCTGCTTGAAAGCAGAAGCTCAGCTGAGTAACAACAGTACGTATTTACCGCAGATCAAACCTGGATATTCTCCTTTATATCCCTCCAGGATCTTCTGATTCTGAAATAAGAACCATGCCTCTCCCAGTAGACCCTGGTTAATGCTTGTTCTCCCTTTCTTCCTTTAACACACAGTGTGAAGATGATAATGGTTAAAAGACCTGGTTCTACCACAACGCACCTGGTGCTAGCAAATCTTCAGATGTAAACTCTGGCTCATATGGTTTCCCATTTAATATGTCAAATACCTGTTGGGAAGAACACATGGGAAAACATGATACACTGGAGGGAGTGCTAGGGAAGGCTACCTCTTTATAATGAAGAACTCAGCATGCCCCCCTCAGAAAGCCTGAGTACCTTACAGGCGGAGGAGGGGCAAGAGGAGTCAGGACCATCCCCCAAGTACATGGTGCCCTTTGAGGCAGAAATAGCTGTGTGGGTTCTAGTGCTGGGAGCTTGCACTCTGCAGAAACTGCCTGAGGTTGGCAGGAGGACCCACGTAGAGTGACAGTCAATACTGTTCTGTGGAACAAGGCAGTCCAGACCACCAAGTCAGCCATCTCTCGGTCAGAGACCTAGGGCTTGGGGAGAGCTTACTCAGAGCTGTGAAGCTGTGTCCCTGGATGTCCCCTCCTCTCTAGTAAAAGGTTCTGAGGATGAATCTCATAAGCCTGCTCAAAGTGAGATGTATAGATGCTCACAAGGTGTTAACCTTCTGGCACCATTTAAGTTTTAACTCAGACTCCAGAGATGTCTTAAGTTAAAAGGAAAAACTTCCATAGCTTTGGAAGCCTTTCTGGCATTCTCTGTAGTCAGTCTATTGCTGGAGTGTGGGGGTCAGTGGAGTGGGTTATCTTTGCTCTGTGGTGAGGCCTTCTGGTGCTAATGTAAAGGGGAACCACAGAGTCTCTGCCGGGTTGGCACAGATGGGCTGCAAGGAGGCAGAGAAGATTTTAGAGGCAAGAGTTTTGAGGAAGGCTTTATATCTATTTACTCTTTATATTTATTGAAATTATTAGAAGAATTTCTAGTTTATTTTTACATTCAGAAATCACTTATCTAAGTTCTAAGCAAATAATAACTGTAGCTTCAGAAATCAGGATGGTAACAATTCTGGTGTGAGTTTGGAATGAGTGACTTGTATGTGAATTTTCTGTTTTTACCCCTGTCTTACATCTCGACTCTGATCTGATTAGGCGTACACTTTTGCACTCAGAACTCAGCTGACCTAGATCTTTCATGGATAGGGGTTTTCAAGATAAATATGACTCTTGACAAGCAGACTTTCTTAAAAACAAAAGGCCTGTTTGGGGGGAATAAAGCACCAGGAAGCCCATCTGTTCCGACGCCCCTGAACCTTTAGCTCCCTCAGGAGCAGCCATCGCACAGAATGAGCAGTTCTCACCTGCCAGCTGGCCGCCATATCGAGGGGTGTGGTGCCAGGTACGACTCCTTCATCCTCTCCAGAGTCATCCAAGTCATAGAGAGGCTCAAAGTTCTCCACCAGGGGATCTGCTCCTGTGAAGTTGGGTTACACAGGGTTAGTTAAACCCAGAGCTTGTCAACTTCCAACTGCATGCAGGGGACAGGTTTCCAAAGGCAAAGCACAGTAGCTGCTAGAGGCATTCACCTGGGTAATTTTTAATGCATAAACTATGTTTCTACTGAAATACCTAGGTAACTCATTTTTAAATTTTAATTTACTTGGACCTTAAAAGTGTCTTATGAAACCCTACAGAGCAAAAGATATGACTGAAAACAGACTCCAAAAACTGAGTTTCACATTCAACTCTATGGGATATTTCTCAAGTGAGTGATGCATCTTTAATCTGAGGATTAATGCATAGCAGTTTCGAGAGCTGAGGGGTGCCCTCAGGATTAAAGCCCTAAATGGTTAAAGTTATGCCTGCTGACGCATATTTCTCAGCCTCTTTTCTTGCATGCTTAAAACAGCAAAGATGCTTGATGTTTCGTAACAGCAAGGTCAGTTTTATTCCTGGGTACAGCAATGCCAGGGCCCTAATCCTTAAACACAAAACATCAAAAAACCAAACAAACAAATAAATAAACCCCAAACAAACCCTCTGCTATTGAAAAATTTGGGGCTAGTGAACCTGGGGAGATCTAGTCTGTTTTTTAGTCTCCAAGAAGAAAAGCCAAACTCTAGTTCTGACTCTAGGATTTGAGTTAGAGTTATTCCCAAGGCTTAGAGACTTTTTATGAGAGCGTTTAGGTCGATGTCTGATGAATAGTAGTAAGCTCACCTTTTTGGGAGGAGGAAGCTATTTTGGAAGAACATTAGATTTGGGCCAACTTTGATAATAAGAAAGTGCTAAGGACAGCCAAAGAAGAATCCTGTGCTATTTACTAATCTTTACTATCCCAGTCCTGGCCTGATCTATGAGGCAATAAATGTAACCTAACCTTGAAAACAGTGGAGAAATTAAGATGAAAAAAATTACAGGATTGAAGACTGGAGAGGCCTAGCTATACCTGTTCCTCAAGTGACTTTTTTCATGCCTTTGAGCTCAGAACAGGTTTTACATCTGAGTTTCTTCATTAAATTGTTAATTGCTACTTTTTCCACAGAATTCTGAGAATTCAAGAGAAAGCATTTCTGAAAGGGTTACAGCTTCTTGCCTGAAGGCATTTCTTAATTGCAACCAGTGACTTCCAAAACTATTTATTCACACTGTAATCAGAGTCTCTTGTTTAATAAAAAAATTCAATTTGACAAAGGAGAAAAGGCTGCTGCTTGTTTGGGATATGATTTTACTTGCCAGAAAAATGTGGTGCCCCAAAAGAAAAAGTTCCTAGATCTTTAAGATGATATTGGCTCTGGTTTTTTTTTTTTAATTTATAAAGCATTTACCTTTTCAATATTTTTTAAAATAAACTCCAAAGTAAATAAGATATGTCAGGGTATGAGATACTGATTTCATTAAGCATTTTTGAGGTCCTAAACATGTAAGGCACTGGAAATTCAAAGATAAACAGGAATGATACTTTGTACTTCACAGGACTAGAGGATTAAATGGATTAAAATCTGCAAACCTATGAACAAAGGAGAGAAGAGAAACACGGTAGAGAGATCAAGGTCTGGAAGTTTAGACTGCCAGAAGGTGTGATTCACAGCTCGGCCACGTACTGGGACACTGGAGTATGACCAGGTCGTCTCCTTGTCTGTTTCCTTGACTGTGAGATCGGAACAGTAATAATGGTACTTCTTCCAAAGGGTTATTTGGGATTAGAAGAGATTAAATGAGACAGAGCATGTAAAGTGTACCTAGCACAGTGCCTGGTATATAGCTAGGTCAATAAATGTTAGCAATTGTCAGGGCCTTGCGCATAACAGGACTCAGTATGGGGCCCATTTGCTTTTTCCTACTACTTCAATGTCTAAGAGACCTTTCTTTCAAAAGAAAGTCTTTAAATTATTTCCTATACTAATGATATTGTTCTTAGGCCAAGGCAGGAGGATTTCTTGAGGTTAGGAGTTTAAGACCAGCCTGGGCAGCACAATGAAGCTGTCTCTATAAAAAAAATAACAAAAAATTAACCAAGTAGTCTCAGTTACTTGGGAGGGTGAGGCAGAAGGATCACTTGAGCACAGGAGTTGGAGGCTGCAGTGAGCTATGATTTGGCCAACTGTACTTCAGCCTGGGGAAAAGCATGATCCCTGTCCCTACAAAAAGAGAAATAAATCAATAACCTTTTTTTTTTGGAGACTTCCAATCTGATCTGAGACTGGGACTGCTCAGAATTCTACAAGGAATTAAACTCTAAGACGATCTTGTCATGGGAGTCAATCTAAACAGTCAAACCCCAAAATAAACAGATGAATCAGAGAGCAGAAACTAACATGACTATCAGAGTGAAGCCCAGGATTACTAGACCAAACAGCACTCTCACAGCAGTTAAAATGTGATTTGCCATATAATTTTTATTTATCCATGCTTTCCAGAGGTGGGTCTGCTGCTTAAAAAAGGTGACACGGCTGCTCTACTAAAGCTGAGTTTGAATTCCTGATAATGTTTTCCATCATTCACCACCAGACCACCTTACCTGCTGCTTTGAGAAGAGCTGCCAGCTTGGTGGACCCTCTCCCAGCCGCTATATGTAGGGGTGTCGTTCCATCATAGGTGGTACTGTCCACGTGGGCATCACCCTAAAAATTCCAGGCCACACAGGAAAGGGTTAGTGGAAGGTTCTCTTGCCCTTCTGTCCCCACATCCTCCTGCCTGCATGGCCCCTCGGGTCATATTACTATTGTTACTTTGGGCTGGCTCTGTCATCGGAGATATCTCCAATTAGGGATGCTGGGCCAAGGTGGTGGGGGGAATGCCTATAAGTGCTACCTGAAGCCTTGCACACATGTTAAACAAACAGAACTGACTAGGCAGAAGAGCTGTTACTGGCTTCATTCTTTGAAAAGGTTTTCCTAAATCCCCGTTTGAAATTTAGTGCAAAGGCAAATAAGCCCGTCCTTCACCTCCAGCAGTAGGCAGCCGGCCAAGGAGATGTTGTCGTGCTCCACAGCCAGGTGCAGCGCTGTGCGCCCGGACTTCTGCTCCTGAGCGTTGACGTCCGCTCCGGCGGCCAGCAGCAGCAGCAGACACGGCAGGCTGTTGCTCATCATGGCTAGGTGAATGGCATTCAGACCTACGGCCCAAGCACAGGGACAGTCACAGGGTGGGAAGGCTGCAGACAGATGGCCCCTGGTGATGCTGAAGGAAATGGTAAAAAAACATGGATCATAGATAGGGAGGGAAGCTGTCGGGATTCAGCACTTCTCGCTGAGTCTCTACTCGAGATTGTTTTTTAAAAACACTATAAGCCTATTGTTCTGACTTGAAAACCACAGTCTCCTGTTATGCTCTCAGGAGACAATGAGGGTGAATAAACATTCTCCGAATAAATGGTGCTTTATACACGTCAAGACCAGTGTTTGCTCAGGCCTCTGCTTTTTCTTCCTAATGACAAACTATTGCAAATCATCTTTAAAGAAATTAGCTATGGTGAACAACAGAAATACCCACAATAGACGATGAACTCCAGCAGACTAAGGAAAGTGCTTTGGGGTGTAAATCAAATACCACTCATTTCAATAACACACACTATCAAATACCTAGTTATGGTTTAGAAAGTGGATAGAGAAGGTCACACCAATGATGCCTGCTCGCTTCTTACCTTCCCCATTGGGGCGGTCAATGAGTAGTGCTGCCTTTTTGTGCTTGAGCAAGATACCGAGAATTTTGTCGTGTCCCTCTTTGGCTGCCAGGTGCAAAACAGAGTTACCCAAGCGGTCCAGAAGGCTTAGGTCAGCTCCGGCCTGCAGCAAATCCTCCACCACTTCTTCCTGCTTGGTGATCACTGCCAGGTGCAAGGGGGTCTGGGAAATGGACAAGGGGAAGAAGATTTTCTGGTCAGCAGTGAACACTTATAACCCAGGGCTTGGTTGCTGTAACTGCTTGGTAGCTGTAACTACAACAGGCAAGGTCATACTGCAGGGCTATTTCTCAATCTTAGATTAACCCCTGACCTTTGCACATGAGTTACTCCCTGTTCCACACCATATGCTAATAATATGTGTATACTAAACTAACATTTAGCTATGCAATAATCTGAATTGTTTTTATTATTTTATTTTTAGCTGACAATTAATAATTCTTTACATTTATATAGTACAATGGGATGGTCTAATATATGTTTACAATGTGGAATGATTATATCAGGCTAATTAACAAATCGCCTACATACTTAATCATTTTGTGTGTGGTGGGTTATTTTTATATTTACAACTCTCACTAGCTTTTTTAATTCATTCTGTAGTCAACTTATTTGTCTTAAATTTCTAATAGAGATCTATCTTCAGCTGGTAATTCTGTATGTTAAAAAATCAAGGAAGGCTATGGTTTAATTGCAGAAATTTAAATGAACTACTCGACAGAAACCAACTGACGAAAGTGCCATGATTCTATCTTGAAGCAGAAAACAAATTTACTAGATTAAAACATACTGTACAATGGAATGGCTCCATGAGAACAATTAAAATCACTTTTTTGCCTAAATTTTTGAGGAAAAAATAAGGATGTGCATTATACATGGGGAGTATGGCTCGGGAGCAGGAAGGTCTATTGCAGTTACACAGGGTTCCAGTCTGGGGGTATCTGGGATCTGGTAGGAGCAAGCTGGAGCGGTCTCCACCAAGTACCTGATCAGGGCTTCTGAAGGGGTGGTGGCAGGGCTGGAGAGGTGGACTGCATGGAGGAGATGGGGAACCCTGTGCAGGCCCCAAGGACCTGTCTAGCTATCTGTGGATAGAGGGGCCTAAGAAACTCCCACCCCACCAGCCATATGTGGCCATCTCAGCCATGTCTGATATGAGAGGGAGGGAAGGGTTACTGGTAGAGAGGAAAGGGGCAGCCTTTACAGAGCAGGTGGCTGCCAGATGGCAGTAAGATCTGCATGTTTACCAGGGGAGCATTAGACTGGCCCACATGTGTCTCTCCTGGCCAGAACCAGCTACTTTCTTGAGGGGTGTTTTCCTGTAAGTTTGAGCCCAAAATACTGATGTGCATTATACAGAACAGTGCATTATACATGGCAAAATGTAGTATAAATTTCCTACCCTCCCTTCATAAAAGGATTTTAAATGACATAACCAGGAGAATACAACTATCTCAAGGGGCTCAAATGAACAAAAAAGCTGACTTGCTGAGACCTGATAGACGCTTAGGTAGTTCATTTGACTCCCCTTCCCACAGGTAGTCCTTTAGCAAATACAAGTAAGGGATTTTGAAAATTGTGTGTTTTCAAAGATGAGCAAAATGAATTCAGCCACCAAAGTACCTTTCAAAGAACCAAGGGTGCTGACAGACAATGGCAGTCTATCTTTACACAAATCTATTTCACCAAAGTCTAACCAGGAAATGCAGCCTGTCTAGTGACTATCTGGCTATACTTTCCCCTTCAGTGAGTCATGACTGGCTGCAAGCAGCAGCAACAGGTGGGCCGCCAACATCCTACCTGGTGTAGGTGACCACAGCACATGAGAACAGGCGGGATGAATGGCAGGAGGCTGTTTATAGCTCAATCCTAGTGGTTATTTAATACAGCAGAAACAAGATAGGATTTTTTACCCCAAATTATCACCATCCTTTATTTCTTTCATTTTCTAAGACTATCACTCTGGCTTAAACGATGTCCTCAAAACTTTACATGCTGTTGCCAGGAGCCTTCCTCTCAAAAAATAACTAAGTCAAAAAAGACTACCGCTTACTAATCTGGGTTTTCTGAAATGCTATTTGGGGAGATGGGAAGAGGATAGAGAATGAGATTATAAAAAAGAGGACTTGAAACTGTAAGATACAATACATTCAGGAATTGGGAATTATCAGTAGTTTTAATTTTTTTCATATCATATAAACTCTTTTATCATGCATAAGAAAGATATTTTTTTTTTCAAAGTTTTCTCCTATAGTCCAATCAAAAGTTTTCTGGAATATTTTAGGCTTCTACATCTCAAATCCCATGATGATATCTTAAACAATTATACAATGTGAGGATGTAGAAACCCCCCATAATATCCCAGTAAACCAGCTCCTGCAAATATATTTGAGGGCAGCTGTGACATAAATCCATATGGACATGGATCCTCACTGCTGTACTGCACAGTGAAGTGGGGAGTCAGAAGCTGGTTAAGGGCTACTGATGGGAAACAAGAATATCGCAGGCAGAGGTTGCACACTAGTGCACTCTCTTACTCAGTAGAAAAAACAAACTAGCAGTACACACAACTGCAAGGACAGATCCCATAAGTAGCAAAGGCGGAAACAGAGTGACATACAGCTCTATGGCACTAATGCATTTAAAAATTACATGCATAGTCTGGGCATGGTGACTCACGCCTATGATCCCAGCATTCTGCCAGGCCAAGGCAGGTGGACTGCTTGAACTCAGGAGTTGGAGAACAGCCTGAGCAAGAGAGGACCCCTGTCCCTACTAACAATAGAAAAACTAGCCAGTGCTGTGGCCGGTAACTGCAGTCCCAGCTGTTCAGGAGGCTGAGTCAGGAGAATCTCTTGAGCCCAATTGAGGTTGCTGTGAGCTATGACATCATGGCACTCTAACCAGGGTGACGGAGTAAGACTCTGTCTCAAAAAAAATTACATGCATAGAGAGCTATACAGATACACACAAATGAGTGCATATAAAACCGGTGAAATCTGACTAAGATCTATGGATTATGCCAATGTCAAGATTCTGGTTTTGAGGCTGGGTATGGTGGCTTATGCCTGTAATTCTAGCACTCTGGGAGGCTGAAGTGGATGCATTGCTTGAGTTCAGGAGTTTGAGACCAGCCTGAGCAAGAGTGAGACTCCATCTCTACCAAAAGTAGAAAAACGAGCCAGGCATGGTGTTGCACATCTGTAGTCTCAGCTATTTGGGAGGCTGAAGCAAGAGGATCGATTGAGTCTGAGGTTGCTGTGAGCTCTGACACCATGACACTCTACCGAGGGTAATAGAGTGAGACTACCCCCCCCCCACAAAGGCCTCGTTTTGATATTGTATTACAATTATGCAAGATGTTATCATGTGAAGAAACTGGTGATGGAATCCCAGTTCCCTTGAGTAAATATCCTAGGACATCCTGGTATGTTTTTGCAACCTCATTATAATGATATAATCTATCATTATATTAAATTAAAAATTACAGAAAAAAGTTAATGTTAAGCAGAAGTAGGTATAATATAACATAGATTGTATGTTAGAGCATACTAAAATATCTATGTATTTTAAGTGCATGTGTATATTTAGCCAATATCTGGAAAAATACCTATGAAAGCAATAGTTAACACGTGGGAGCTTGTGCAACTCAGGGGGGCAACTGATCAATGCACATCGTCGGTACCATTTAAAAAACTATGAATATATATTCATAATACTTAAGAACATTAACAAACCATCCACACACCCCCAATGATGTTTTATGGGAACATATGCAAATAAAAATATTCATATTAAATGCACTGGAATGGTTGTCTATGTTGAGAGAAGGGAGTGGGAGAGGAAGAAAAGGTTTAAAGAGAATATTTTCAGAAGACTCCTAAGTCTGTGCACTTGGACTATTTTGAGTGTGTTTCTAAAGGGTGGGCGGGGAGAGGCATTTGATCATGACAGATGGTCACAGAAATGTACTAAGATTAGTGAAAGGTATTTGGGGAGAATGTTTAAGATAATTGCCAAATAATCCAAATTACTGGAGAATTGTGTAATTTTCCATCAAGAACAGTTATCAGAGAACCTTTATAGCAGATAATTGAGAGTTCAAAATCTTAAGCAGTTTCTGGTTCTCAAAGTTGTCACTGGGTGCACGTTGCAGACCCAGAGGGCACACCAGGCATGCTTGCCCATTAATAAGAGTGGTGGTGTGATAGGGAAAAGTGGACCTGTAGTGTTCTGAGAGCCCCCAAATCAGAAGGGGAAGAAGAGTCAGTGGTGGTGGCTTCAGGATCCTTGTCTCTAGCATGTTGGAGAGTCTCAATATATGTAATCAAATAATACAGTAAAGAGTTTAGTCCATAAAAACCACAGTGGCTAATCCCTCTGTGCTGTGTCCTCTGCAGATCCTATTTATAAACAAGTAACTCCTTGAACTGGATCGACATGTAGTGGAGTTAAACAGTCTTCAAAAGGAGGACCAAGAAGCTACAATGTCCCGTTTCTAGTTTTATTTTTACACTTGTGATGGTTACAAGGATTAGTCCAAAGGTCTAAGAGGATCAAGCTTTACGGGCCAAATGACTTTCCAACTACCAACAACCCCCCACAATGATATGAAAGTTGGAAGAAGACATCTTCTAGATATAAATCTAAAACATACTAAACATACTTCATCTTAGTTTTCTTTTTTTTTTTGAGACAGAATCTTACTATGTCACCCTCTGTAGAGTACTATGGCGTCACAGCTCACAGCAACCTCAAACTCTTGGGCTTAAGCTCTTAAACTCTTGCCTCAGCTTCCCAAGTAGTAGGTGCCCACCACAATGCCCGGCTATTTTTTTTTTTTGTAGTTGTTGTTTGGCAGGCCTGGGCCGGGTTTGAACCTGCCAGCCCCAGTGTATGTGGCCAATGCCCCAGCCTTGGAACTACAGGCACCAAGCCCATCTTAGTTCTTTTTCTACTGTGAGGCAGTGAAGAGCCTCTAACTTCATTTTTCCTTTGACATTAAGCACAAGAGCCACAGAAGAAGGCTACTGGCTTATCCTGAATGGGAAGCAATTATTTCCCTCTACCAGAAAGCTTACTACTTTTTCCCTGTTCACAAGTAAAAATCTACTGGGAGGTACTTTTGCTTTAAATGTACTGGAAAGCACATTTTAAAGTGTTAGAAATAAAAATAAGCCAATGAAAAATTTAATAATTTCCTTTAAAAATGAATGGAAATTAATTTTTATTATTAAAGGAAGTTAAAAATTGATTTCCTTTAAAATAATTTTTAAAATGATTTTTAATTTTAATTACTTAATTTTAATTGATTAATTTTTTACTTCCTTTACAGTGAGGAAATAAAAATGATTCATGTCATCTGCTTTAAAAGTTGACAACTGGAATAGGTGCCTACCAGGTAAATAATTACAGACAACCTTGGCCCCATTTTCAGAGTGAGAGAGAGAGCTGGGGGGGTCCAAACACACCATCTAGACCAGTGAGGACCTGGAGAACATCCTGGGTCAAGTGGAGGGAAGGAGAAAGGTGGAGAAAGATGGGGCAAAAGCAGGAAACTCACACAGAAGACTGGGGGGCGGGAAGGCGGTGAGGGAAGAGGAAGGCACCCTTGACAGTTGAGCCCACTTTGGCCTTGTGTGAATGCAGTCCCCCCTAGCCAGAGAGGTGGCCTGAGGTCTCCAGGCTCCTAACAGTTTAGGCTTCACTCCTGTCCAAGCAGTCTCCGTCCCTCCTCCCAGCCCTGAAATCTGTGCCTGCCCATCAGGTGGCCTCACTGAACCTCCAGCTAACTTCTCTTTGCAATGATTGAAGAGCCCCTCAGATCGCTTTGCAGCTCCCCCTAATTCCTATGTGAACCCGATTTGGGCAGGACCCTGGTGTTCCAGTTTTCCTCACTTTAAGCTATATTTGTGTTTCTGAAAGACACCTTTTCCTCCTCAAGCAACCTTTTTACCTTTGACTTCAGCACTTTTAGTTGATATGTATTCCATCTGGATGTTGTCCAAGGATATTTCCATGGACTTTAAGTTCTTTTACATTATTGGCTTTTCCAACTTAATTTTTTTCAACTTCACTTTTCTTGACAGAAGTAACATTTTTACTCTAAAATTCTTACTCTAAGATATCAACTCTTTGATTTCTAAAATTTGCTCTCCTCCCGGCAGGATGCTGAGTTTCACTGTGGCTTGACTGCCCTTATACTCACAGATCAAAGGATCCTAATTCATCAAATAACATTTGCAACTAATGAGCTTTTAGGATATTACCTACAAAGTCCGCTATTGTTAATGTTACTAAAATCATGTTCACCACAAAAAAAAAAAAAAAAAAAAAGGACTAAGGATTTTTCTTCATTGGTCTCCTTAAGATTTCTGCTTACCTGGTATAGATCATTTCTCATGTTGATAATTTCATCAGAAATCAAGCCGGATGTGACTTCTAGCAGATCCCTCACAAGTTGAGCATGAAGGTGGATAATTGCTAAGTGTAAGACACTGGAATGAAAATATAATGGAAAGAATCAACTAAAATGTTAACGAAAGATTCTCAAGAGGTGATTAGACTTACAGATTGAATCTGGCTCTTAGACTGAATTTTATTTGTCCCTAAAACGTTTGAACTTATAAAATGTCTTGAATTTGAGGTGGGACACTATCTACAGAAGACCTATTCCTTCCAATTGTCTACCCAAGGCCGCTCTACTTATTTGTGGTGCCCACCTGGACCTCCAAGCATTTATGTCTGACCCTTTGAAATGTGAAGGTACCCAGCTTCCAGAGCAGAGGGACCTAAGTTCAAATCCCAATTCTACCTCCATACTACCATTTCAGGCACTTTTCCCTTTACCTTTCCCCTGAAAAATAGATGCTGTATGTAAAATAAATGTCTGGCACTAGAACTTGTCCAGAAAAATTTAGTGACTTCACCTATCCCCGCCACCTGCTTCCAAAATACAGTGTGGTGGCTTTAAAAAAACCTTTGAAGACCCCCAGAGGGAAGAATGATGTCAGGCTTTTAACTACTGGAAGAAAATTCTTAAAGCAAACTTCTGAAGAATCAAAGTAATCATATTCTCCATCATGCCTGCAAACTAGCAAAACCCCTCGTGTCTGTAGGTTTTGCTCTTTTTCTTTGCCTGGACAACACATCTGTCTATATACTCCAATTTCATCCTTACATACTCAGAGAATGCCTTCCCAACTTCCTAAGCAGAGCAAGTCATCCCTCTCAAATTGACTGCGTAGTTATGCAACTGCAGTTTTCTATACATCTTTCTCTTTCTCTGGCCTGTGATCCTGTCTGGGGCAAGTTCTCTGAGTCAGCTTTACAGCTGTTGCACGCACTATGGGTAAAAAAGTAACAGGATGGAAGAAACCTAGGGCAACATCATCATGCCTAGGAAGACAATGCTTTTAATTATTAAAAAAAGTATTAAAATTAATTTTTTTTTGAGACAGAGTCTCATTCTGTCACCCTTGGTAGAGTGCTGTGGCATCACAGCTCACAGCAACCTCAAACTATTGGGCTTAAGCGATTCTCGTGCCTCAGCCTCCCAAGTAACTGGACCTATAGGCGCCCACCACAATGCCCAGCTATTTTTTTGTTGCAATTGTTGTTGTGGTTTTAGCTGACCTGGGTATGTGGCTGGCACTGTAACCACTTGTGCTATGGGCGCTGAGCTGACATTAAAATGTATCTGAAATAATTCAGCATTAACAATAATAATATGACATGCAAGTAGCTGCTATTTGTTGAGAGCTTCTCTCTACTGCACTATGCTAAGCACTTGGCATGCATTATCTTATTTATCATAAGAACAATCCTAGAAGGTAGGTAGTATTATTCTCAGTCTTTGGATGATGAAACTGAGACTCACAGGTGTAATATGACTCAATCAAGGTCACACGGTTAGTAAGTGGTGAAGTCGGGATTCAAGAGCATCCAAAGCCATCTCTAAATTCCCTGAACTCCCCCGAGTAAGGGATACAAGTGCATTGCTCTGTGGAGCTGCAGACAATCATCGAGGAGGATGATTACTTTCAAGGGTGGACAGATTCAGATGTAAGCACTATGGCTGGGACTCAAGCTACGGGCTGAATTTTCTCAAAAGGTATCAGGGGCCACTTTATTCTAGCCTCTTTCTTAGCAACAGCAAGTATATTTTATATGGGATTATTTTAGGCACAGGAGGACCTAAAAAACTAAATCGTGATTTTACTACTTGGGAGATATTTAAATGATGATTTTAGGGTTTTGCTATTGAAATGTGATACTGGAAGAAGCCTTTTGAAAAGGGACTCAAGTCTGACACAGACACGATACACATATACCAAGAAAAAGGTCACACTTCAAAAACTGCCTAAAAATTTCCATGTGCAGATCAGCATTTCACAGCAGAAGTACATTTCCCCTGCCCCTCAAATCCTCACACCCTTCTGGGAATTTCCCAGTACCAGAAGGTTTTTGCTTTTTTTTTTTCATTATTGTATTTTCTGTGATGACTCATGGCCACAGGATTCAGACTATTAGCCAAGTATGAAAAGCTCAATGAAAACAAGAGGTCTGAGATGTGATGGCCCAAACTGCCCTTTGCCTGCACTCTTCCAAGGACGCCTCTTTGGTCTCTCCGAGTCCCACCCCTCTGGTTTCTCTGGGCCAGCTTGGCGTGAGTTTGTTTGGGTTCTAGGAAAGGATTCTCAGTGTTCCCTTCCTCATTGGTAAGGAAGACCCCCTCCTCTGTCTGCCACGTATGGCAGGGCCTTACACGTGTCCCTGCTCTCCCCTCAACACACACACAGGAGCGCACAGGTCTTGCGTCCCTCCCTCCAGCCTCCCTTTAGGCATCAGCATTCCCTTTCTAACTCTGAGACTCAACAACACAGCAAGTCTCTCTAGAAACACTTGAAAAATATTTGGAAGTAGTCATCCTTATTTCAAACACTCGCTTAAAACGCTTCTGCCCTATCTCGGTTACCTGCTTTTTCTTGTGGTTATGGGCTAGTGAATGCTAATTCCGATTATTTAACCCTGAAAAAACATTCTGCTGGTCACGGGCTTTACACCGAGAAGCTTGTACAGGCGCCTCTGGTACTGTATAACAAGGCCAGTGGTTATACCACATCCTTGGTTACACTGCAAGGAATAAGAACAAAGGTCTCCGCTTGAAAGCCTGAGGTTGGCACTTTCCTAAAAGTGTTTGGTTCAGTTTTCAAACTGAGGTTTAAAACACAGCACTCAAGAGCTCTTGCACAGAAAAGGATTTCTCAGTGTTGATGCTATTTTAGGAAGGTTTGAGATGAGGCACTTGATTTGAATCCTAAGGCTGCTGGCTCTTTTTATTTTTATAGGCTTTTGAGATCATTTTAGAATTCTCAATGAAAGGACTGAGAGAACTGTTTTAGAAAGAAGCCAGGTGGCCTTGCAAATATAATCTCAGTAATAGCAGGAATGGAAGGCATGGTGTTTGGAATGTCAGACTCCCACTCAACACGGGCTGGAGCAGTCACATGAGCATGAGCCACGCACAGACTGGGGCCAGGAACTGGGGACAATGACCATCCCTCAATCATTTTGTTTCTGCCTTTGTTGGGCTTTTCCTCGAGCACACTGCCATTATAAATATGCAGTTGGCATAACAATGCTTCAGGATTTGGAAGGACTCTTAACACTCTTCTAAATATTATTTTAATAAATAAAGCAAGGATACTGAAAAAGTACCATTACCTACACACCCATTAATTTTCTTGCCCAAAGAGATGTACTTAAATTTTTAATTTTTTAAATTTGTATTTATTTGGGATTATTATGAGGACATAGATTATTAGGTTACGATGTCTGTGTTTGTTAGGTAAGGTCCCTGTTGTAGAGAGATGTACTTTTGGATGAGTGCTTCAGCTATTCACGTCCCACGGGTGATCACAGCAGGACAGGAGAAGCAAATTGTACTATTCGACCTTACTGACATGCTAAAGTGTTCCAGTTATAAAACCCAGTAACTTAGAATAATTTTTTTTATCCCTGGCTGGTGTGCTTTATACAATGCTTTTCTCTCTTCTCTACTCTAAAACAACCCATGTCACACAAAAGCCCTGACTCACCTGTCCCCGTTGTCATCCTGCACAGTAGTGAGATGGCGCTGGACAGCCAGCAGCATCTTCACGTCCCCTGTCACCGCATAGTCGAACAAGGCATTGGCATGTCTCTTGGCCAGCTGCATCGCCTTCTCTAGGAAGAGGTTATCTGCAAGGTAATAAGCACAACTACAGTTGGGCTTCCTGCTTACTCTATAGGTGTGGTGTGCTTGGGGCCCAAACCCCTAGCATCAGTGTTCTGACGCATCAAGACACATTATTTTAGTTGAAAATGCTTCTTATGGTGCTTCTGAATTATGTTCACTGGACAAAGCAGAACTGGACCCTGGCTCTGTGAAAAATACAGTTAGAGATTGATCTAAAAGAATCTGTGGCTTATTGGGGGGGAAAGTTCAGAAATATCTGTTACTTTAAGGGGAAAAATCAATGTCAAAGCAATGTTAGATTGTGCCATAAAGTTTAAACGCTTGGTGAAATAATCCTTCACTGGAATCGTGAATAACTATCTTATTAGGCAATGCATCAAAAAGCACACATCTCTGCCACAGATACAGATTTTCAATGAGCCGCTGATGTTTTTTAAGGTTTCTTCCTTTAAGGTCAGGTGATTGCAAATTGTGACCTTCAGGCCCAGATCCTTGCATGATGTGTTTTTATATGCCTCTCTAGCTAAGCATGGTTTGCACATTTTAAAAAAAATATACAAAAAAAAAAAAAAAGAATAGATGATAGAGACCATATGTGGCTGGCACATTTAATTATTTACTGCCTTCCCTTTTATAGAAGAAGTTTTCCAAGTATCATCTGGGGTGACCTAGAATCATGACACATAAACTTATGAGTATTGGTTCAAAGTAAACACCAAAGTACATTTTCTCCTAATCCTACTTCTTCAAAGAGGGAGAGAAGATCAAAAGAAAAGTTCCTGTTTTCAGGCAAATTTCCACTTCAGTGTGACACTTAAGCTAGATTCTAGAGAGGAATGACTATTAAGGTTATGGAAACTATTCTCTAGTATCTGTGCCAAGAAAAATGAGTTGATTATCTCTCTGGATACCCTAAAACTGCATGATTATGATTGGAAAATGTACATGTAAATTTCTGTACTTTATATTCTAAGATAATGGGGAAAATGGAAACCCCAGTGTGAATAAAATGACCTGACACAAGGCGTACAGAACTCTGAAGAGCATTTTGAACTAGATATTGAAGTAGCTTTCTGCACCTACAGCTGACCCTCCAACCAACACAATGTAATTTCCCGTGTCCCCACTCACCTTGACACCTAGCGTTTTCCTCCTTCACTCCTACTGTGTACGTTAGAGCAATCTCATCATGCCTATTGTTGGGCTTATGGGACTCCTTATCTTGTTCTGTGCTTCCAGTGACTTCCCCAGAGAAATTTACAGTGTCTCTCTCATCACTCTGGTCACAACCTTCAGGGTTATTTTTAGATTGGGTGTCTAAAGTTCCTAAGATAAAGGCAAAAACATCATCTTTTTCTCAGTAAAATCTATTAAGTTATAAATCACCATTCCATTGTAGGTCAAATAAATGTAAGAGGCAAAGGGAAAAGAAAACCAATCATTTAAAATTAGTTTTTAGATGGCCACACCCCGATATTATAAATAACATGTTTTGGAACTACTTTAATCTCTCATTTCTGAAAAACATTCTTCTAATAGGCTTCTAAAAAACTGATCTCTTTGTCCTTGTTTGTAAAGGAGAGACGTGAAGTAAAGCGCTTCTGTGAACTGCAGGAAGTTTTTAAATTCTTGAAAGCAGAGCAGGTATTTTTTCCTATTACTGATTAACGCAGCAAGTCATAAAGATACGCTCTCGAGTCACGTTCTTCAGTGTGGGGGCTAGCTGCTGTATCTTTTCTGAGCATGCGCCTCCAGGCCCAGCTATGTTTGCTATGTGACAGGCACCATGAGGGTACTCAGGCTGTATGTGCAGAACTGCCTTAAGTTCTTATTCTGCCACTAACTGCTCTGTGCCTCCAGGGAGTGAATGGACATTGTTGAATCTCATTGCCTTCTGCTTACAGAATAGAGATACTAACATTTTCTTTACCCAGCAGCCAGGAAGGGAATGGTTAATACACATAGAAGCACCTGGCATAAAACAGGCATTCAGTAATCAGGCAGACATTAGTATCATTTTTCTAATGGGAACTCCAGAAGCGGACATGCCGTAGGAAATACGAACACAGAGTGTAACAACTGCTACTCAGGGGCACATTTAATGGGAAAAGACCATCCTTAGACAACTCAGAGTGATTTCAAAGTGTAGTGCTTGAAGAAAAAGGAGAGACCACGGGATAAGTTTGGTGATTTTGTAATGTCTGAGTAGTCAGGTCTCTACTCTTTTTTCTCTTTTTAAGGCTCTTTTCTTTTCCCCTGTATATGCCACTTACAAAGTAAATACATACATACATATAAAACACGTGTCAGAAATAGTTTATACTATTCATAGGAAATAATATTTTTGGGAAAAGTATCTTAGTTTATTTGCATTTGTCAGTTTTTTCAAGATGAAAATGTTGTGATGAGTAATGATTAAAAAATCCTTTTTGCCAATGACTCCCCTTCATCACTCACCGTGCTTCATCCCCGCGTTAGATTTAGTAGCTCCAGGATGGAAGGTGATTCCACCGTATGTAGGAAATCCGTAGTTGGGGAAGCTGTACCCTGAAATAGCAGGTGCGACAGATGAGACATCACAAGGACGTTTACAAAGACTCAGCAAACCTTAGCGTCCGTCCCTCAGGTGGGCACAGGCTCTGGTGGGGGGTAGGTGCCGTACCCACTCACAGGGCTTCTGTCGAGAGCCAGTGAGACACCTACGGGGGCCGTGGGACACACATAATTCCACTGGGCAACTCAGACTGGGCCCCCGACGTGGAGAGGAGTCGTGATAGAGGAAGGGAAGAGGCCAACCACGAGTGGTCACCACGCAGACTTGCCTACACAGAAGACATGAAAATAATCCCTGGAGGGAGAGCCTACGCCAAACAAATCACTGAGAAACACGACTCCTCAGGGGAAATGGCCACCATTTTTCATTCTTACGCGTTTTTGGTGGAAGGATTTATTGGTTAAAAGTCTTTGGGGAAGTAGCTGGCATTAGAATTCATGCCTTCTAACACAGCCATTTTACTTCAAAGAATTGGATTTACAAAAATAATCTAGAATAAAAGTAATGTGGATAGGCGTTCAGCACAGCCTTTTATGCAGAAAGCAAGAAACGACATTCGAGTAAGTTATAATATGGTTTGTTCACTTGATAAAAAATTATGAGTCATTATAATGATGCTTACAAATAATGCTCACATGAAGCTTATATTTCCATGGAGAAAGGTTTATGTTAACACATTAGGTGAAGGCAGTGCCTAGGATGCTATATACAGAGTCATGCAGAAATGACAGTAAAAACTAATACAAATAAATGGATTAAAATAATATGTATGATGGTGATCACAACTAAATTCAGCAGAAATCATAATTATCTTCTATAATGAATACACAAAGAAACCAGAAGAGGTTACCCACAGATGGCAGAATTTTATGTATTTTCAAATCTTCTACAATGTAGTAGTAGATACAGTGCTGTTATCTACGACATAGCATATATAATTTAAAATCTTTTCAATGTTTCCAAAGAACAAGACAACTATGTCAAAAAAAAAAAAAAAAAAAGGAAAGAGAAGAGTGGAGGAAAATACACCAAAAGGTTAGAGTCTTCTTTGGGTAAGTGGCCTTGGGTGACTTTTTTTACTTCTTACAGTTTTCAGGATTATCTATATACTGTAAAATGAACGTGCATTTCTTCAGAAAATAAATTTAGATTTGTTAGGAGATTTTAATCAATATGCTAAAAAGTGTCACAGCCACTCAACCCCCAGACATGCTCAGAAACCTAGGAAAAAGCAAATTCTCCCCTTTCCAATATGAGAGAGGTTTAGGAGGATCAGATTTGTCTGTACCTGGACCTGTACCTCCAGCGCCCCCTCCTGCGCCGCCACTTCCGAACATGCCTCCGCCTCCGGCTCCCGCACCACTGCCGCCACCGAAACTGTCCGAGAAATTGGGCATGAGCTTCTGCCGTTTCCTTTGCACTTCCTCTTTATCTGTATTTAAAGGAAGAGAAACCAGAGGAGAAAAGATTGATTCGGTCCCACCAGCAGCCACAGATAGAACTATTGATTCTGATGGTATTTTTAAACATTTTAAAGGGAAACAGAAAGCCCTGAAGGAGGAAGAGATGCCACATTTCAAGAAGCATTATATTTATTCCAAGGGGTGCCAAGACCCAAAACTGGCCCCAGGGAGACCACAGAGCAGTACACACCCCAATCTACTCGGCAGCAGTTTTTTAAGTTCCAAATATTGTTGAAATTAGTGAGAGATTAGATTGCCCATCAAAAATTAAGACAGTAAATAAAAAAATTTTCAAACCCTTTTCTTTGGTCACACAAAACAACGACACAGTTTGATCAGCTAATATTTATGATGAGCTAAGCGCTGGAAATAAAGAGGAGCATGACGTAATGTCCTTTGCTATCAAGGACCCTCCAACATATATATATATATATATATATATATATATTTTGTTTTGGAGACAGAGTCTCACTTTGTGCCTTGGGTAGAGTGCTGTGGTGTCATAGCTCACAGTATCCTCAAACTCTTGGGCTCAAGCAATCCTCTTGCCTCAGCCTCACAAGTAGCTGGGAGTACAGGTGCCCACCACAACGCTCGGCTATTTTTAGAGACGGGGTCTCCCTCTTGGCGGGCCGCCTCCAATGTCATTTAAGGTAGCTGGGGGAGGGACTTAGCAAGACAGCACTGTACCGCTATCTATGTTAAATTCATAGTGAAGACCAGGGTTCTAGAAGCCCAGGGAAGGACTTCTAGGAGGTTCCTGAAGGCTGGGAAATTCAGAAAAGACATCTCAGAATCAATTTTATATAAGAGGGAGAAGAAGGGTGTTCTAGGACAGGGATGTGGAGAGAGCACAACAATGAAGGCAAGATGCGCGTGGGGTGCCTATGAGAACAGCAGGACATCAGTTCGGCTAAAGTGAAAGTTTAGCACAGGCGGACCTCAGAGACTTTGCAGCTTGAAGACTGCTGCCATAAAGCAAGTCACACGAAATGTTTTTTGCTTCTCAGTACATCTGCAAGTTATGTTTCTACGGGGTGGACAGAAAGTTCGTGTATAAATGTAGTAGTTTATTAAGTGTGTAATACCATTATGTTTAAAAAACAAGTCTATTAAGTGTGTAATAGCATTATATGTAAAAAGCAATGTAGACCCCTTAATTAAAAATACTTTATTGGTAAAAAATTATAATGAACATCTGAGCTTTCAGCAAGTCATAATTTTTTTGCTGGTGTAGGGTCTTGCCTCTATGTTCTTGGCTGATTTGAATCATTGTGGGAATTTCTTAAAATAAGATAACAGTGAAGTGTGCTATACCAATGGACTCTTCCTTCCACGAGAGATTTCTCTGCAGCACGCACTGCTGTTTGAGAGTTTTACCCACAGTCGAAATTTCAAAACTGGAGTTGATCCTCTCAAACCCTGCTGTTCTTTTATCAGCGAAGTTTGTTGTCATGTCCATAATGGTCACAACTTCTTCTTCAGGAGTAGATTCCATCTCAAGAAACCACGTTTTTTGCTCATTCATAAAAAGCAGCTTCTCGTTGTTAAAGCTGATCATGACATGGCAGCCACTCCTTCTCATCTTCAGGCCCTACTTCTCACTCTCATTCTGCATCCTTCACTTGTCTAGGTACTTTCTCCACTGAAGTCTTGAATTCCTTAAAGTCAAACGTGAGGATGGAATCAGCTTCCTCCAAACTCCTGTTAATGTGCATATTCTCACCTTCTCCCATGAATCATGAAGGTCTTAACAACATCTAGAATGGTGAATCCTCATCACAAGGTTTTAAGGCCCAGATCCACCAGAAGAATTACTATCTGTGGCAGCTATAGCTTCTGAAATGTACTTCTTAAATAATAAATAACACTTCAAAGTCAAAATTAGTACTTGACCCATGCAGAATGGATGCTGTATTAGTGGCATGAAAACAACATTGATCTTGTACATCTCAGTTGGAGCTCGTGGGTGAACAGGTGCATGGTCAGGAAGCAGTTATATTTTGAAAGAATTTTTTTGAGTAGTAGGTTTCAACAGTGGGCTTAAAATAGTCAGTAAAGCATGCTATAAACAGATATGCTGTCATCTAGGTTTTGTTGTTCCATTTATAGAACACAGGAAGAGTAGATTAAACATAATTCTTATTACGGATTTTTGGAATGTAAATGATCACTGGCTTCAACTGAGAAGTCGCTATCCGCATTAGCCACCATTAGAGTCAGCCTGTCTTTTGAAGCTTTGAAGCCAGGTGCTGACTTCTCTTCTCTAGTTATGAAAGCCCTACATGACTTCTTCTTCCAATAGAAGGTTGTTTCATTTACACTGAAGATCTGTCGTTTGGTGTAGCCATCTTCATCGATCATCTTAGCCATGTCCTCTGGATAATTTGCTGCAGCTTCTACCCGAGCCCTTGTGGCTTCCCCCTGCTCTTTTATGTTATGAAGACGGCGTCTTTCCTTAAACCTCATGAACCACCCTCTGCTAACTTCCAGCTGTTCTTCTGCAGCTTCCTTACCATTGATCTGAAGACGGTTAGGTCCTTGCTCTGGATCAGGCACTGGCTTAAGGGAATGTGGTGGCTGGTTTCATCTTCTATCCAAATCACTAAAACTTTCTTCACAGCAGCAGTAAGACTTTCATTTTCTTACCACTCGTGTGTTCGCTGGAGTAGCACTTTTAATTTCTTTCAAGAAGTTTTCCTTTGTGTTCTTGGCTAACTGTTTGGTGCAAGAGGCCCAGCCTTGAGCCTGTCTTGGCTTTTGACACGCCTTCCCCACTAAGCTTAATCCTTCCTGGCTTTTGAGTTAAAGTGAGAGACATGACTCTTCTTTCCACTTCAACAGTTAAAGGCAATTGTAGGATTATTAATTGACCTAATTTCAACATTGCTGTGTATCAGGGAATAGGGAGGCCTGAGGACAGGGAGAGAGCATGGACGGCGGTTAGTGGAGCAGTCAGAAGACACACAACATCTATTGATAAAGTTGTCATCTTAGTGCAAGTCACAGTGCCCCCAAACAATGACAATGGTGACATCAAAGATCACTGAGCACAGAGCACTGTAACAGATATAATAATGAAAAAGTCTGAAATAATTGAGAAAATTACCAAAACATGACAGGGAAACACGGAGTGAGCACACACTGTTGACAAACGACACCACGGACTTGCTGCATGCAGGGTTCCCACAGCATTCAACTGGTAACAAAGGCAGGGGCTGCCTGGGTGGGGAGTCTTGGGAAACGGGGTGACTGAGACCACACTGTGCAGCACCTGAAATATAAACCTAAGGAATTTACCTCCCAGACTAGAAAGCCATGGAAATGTTTTTTAACAGGAGAGTAATGTGTACGGGGTGGTGTTGTAGGAAGATTCATATGTCCCAGGTGTAGGACACGAGAGGCAAACACAGTGCAGACATAAGGTGATGAAGGCCTGTTCCTCAGTGGTCACCATGACAATAAAAATGGGGTGGGTCCTGCAACACAGGGAAGGAGGGCTCTGTGGCCTCTGGTGACTGACGGGACGTGGAGAGCTAACGCTGTCAGAACACGACTTGGCTAAAATAACAAGGATGCCCACTGAGTCTTGGTTGTCCAAGTCTAGGGGCTCCTTCGACTACTCTCCCTCATTCCCGACACTGAACAATTGTCCTGTTTCTGACTCTTCAGTGTCACTTTTCATCATAGTTTAAAGCCTACAACATTCTCACTTATTTCTACTTGTGTGGTTGTTCCTGTCATCTTAGGGTGAGATAGAAGGCCACTGTCTATCGATTATCTCATCCTCATCCAACTGCAGCTGAAGGATCAAACAAGGGCAAGTAGGGTTAACAAAGTGCACTCAAATAATCATTTGAAAACTGAGACTGTCTGGGGTTCTCAGGAAGAAAAAAGCCAAGGTGGTAAAATGGAGAGAAAGATACGCTTCCACTTAGAAGGAGATGACCTTGAAGTGGAGAAATTTTAGCAAATATTTCCTTAGTAAATATTTTTGGACAGATTTATGAAATTTCTGCATCAGTTATATCATAATTAATTACTAGTCATACTCATTACTCATCCTATCAACTGCTGATCTCACATAGTTCACTGCAGAAATATGAAACACAAGAGAGAGGCAGATAACTTACTTATCTTCAGAAAATGTTATCTATTTAGATGGGTTCTAGCAGAGACACCAATCAGTATTTTCTATACACGACTTTTGTGTTTTAATGCAGAGAAATGTTTACTGGTTATATTTCACTGTAAAATGAGGATTTTTAAGTGTAAATTTTCAAAAATATTAACTATATAATATGGCTAGCAAAATTTCGATGACAAGAAACTGACACAGAAAATTCCACATGAACTATAAAAAAGAATGTGCAGTCTGTAGGCGTGTTGGAGGTACAGTGGTGAGTACGGCTGCCTTCCAAAGAACCTGCAGCCTGAATCTCCATCTAACTGAACATGGAGATTTTCTCACTGGGATCATTTATCCTTGTGGTCTTCCTCTGACAAGTGGCACTGCGGGATGTACGATGAAACATCAATCCGTTTTAGAAGGGACCTAGGTGGTCTCTCACTACAAGTTCTTCTTCTACACAAGAGGAAATTGAAGGTAGGCCGGTTAGGTGACTTTTGAGGACAGGCCAGAGTGAAGAGCAGACACCAAAGTCTAGTGATTTTTCCATGACGTGAGGCTGTCATTCTTCAGGAAACATTCCCCAATAAGTTTGTACAATAGTAATCAATAACTTTAGTAATCGATGACTTTAGATAATTATTTAATTCACAGATGTAGATAAACTTTTAGCTTCTACCATGTTTTCCTGAGCATGTACCTTAAAAGGACCTCGTTCTCACTTTCCCAGTTCTAGTTACCAGTGAAGATGACTACATTTATCCTGACCATACCTTTCCTAACTTAAAGATTATGATTGTGTTTCTTCCTAATCTCCATCTTTTTAGACTGAAAAGTCATTATGGTCTTTGTTCGCTTTCATATAGCAGCTCCTCCACTATCTTCTTTCATTGCCAATACTCAGTCTCTTGATTATTTGAATAGTCCCTCTGGACCCAACCACCTCCATGAAGTTTTTGTAGAGGTTCAATGCCAATGTCCGTTGATGATGCAGAGCTCAGGGATGAATGAATCTGTGTAATGAGGGGAGGATACTTTCTATCTGTGTCTAATGTCTCACTGATGGTACTCAACATACTACTAGTACTAGCTTTATGGATGAGGATGGCGACTTGTTTGGACAACCAGTAAGTCAGGCCACAGACATTCAGTGTGCACCTGCTATAGACATACACTGCTCCAGATGCTGAAGTCTGTGAGCTAAAGAAGATTCTTCCTACTGGGCAAGAGGAAGATAAATAGATAAACAAATAGGTAAGTTTACATATTGTGAAAAATAGTGACTAATGATAGGCAATGAGATAGGGTGTGGCTGCAGAGACGAGGGGCAGTGGAAGGTGTGTTTAATGACTTCTGAGAAATATACACAGTGATTCCCTGGGTTGTGTAGTTTGGATTCATTTCCATATATTTTCTCTAATGCTAAATGGCCTGTTACTTTTCTGACCTATCATAATGCCTGTTTTTCCTTGGGCCTATTATCTTGAGTTTTTATGATCCAGAAGGCTTTAGAGAATAAGGTAATTTGTTATCCTCAATAAAACGGTTCTATTCTCATAATGATTCAATCACTGTACATACATGTGGGTCCTTCTTTCCTTTGGGGTTCAGTGGCTAATCCTGCTATTTTTGGAGATAGTTCTTGTGCTATTTGTATTGTATGAAGCTTTTAATGGCTGAGAAGGTATATGCTTGAAGTACATAGGTATGGTTTTGAACTTCCAGGAAACCCCATTCTCTAATCCCAGCATGAGATATCTCCTCCTATGATAGGTTAGCAATGAAAGTAATCATCTGAACTTGGCCCTGTTATAGCACATTTTTTGATGCACGATCCTACTGGGAAAGGTCTGCCAGCAGCCCTAGAAACCAAGCTCAGCTTTGAATGCTTCAGGTTCATACATGTGTAGGTAACCTGCATTTTCTTTTTTTCATCATTCTCTGTGTTAGCAAAAACTGACCTTATTTTGAAGATGTATTTCAGGAGATAAAAAAATCTACCTTTTTTCCCTCAAAAAGTCCCCCCAAATTAGCCATATTTCTCTTCTATGTCTACTTTTAAAAAGGGATGTTTAAGCCAAAGCACTGATTTTCACAGTGTTTTGTGTAGGCAGAAGCATCTAGAAGACCTCAGGCAGCTCCTGGGTAAGGAAGTGAGAAGAGGTGGGCCAGGGTCAGGGAAGGCCGAGTGGGCAGGGCCTCCACCAGCGCCCAGCGCGGCCAGGCCCCGGGATTCTGCACCACATTGTGTGGACCATGTTTCAAACGTCCCGTATTCAGAATGCACTACAAACCTGACCCAGAAGTGGAGAGGTCACAACCTCAGAAAAGAAACAATCACAGAAATCGTTTTCTAAACACTCCTGCCACGGCGTGAATTCTAGGAAAGGAAAGATGTCTTCAAAGATCACCCATCGCTCATGCTGCCCTCACACGACCCAGCACCAACGCCCATGTGGCTATTTGCTGCTGCACCTTTGTGGTTTCCAACCTCAGTCAGGATCTGGGGGCCCCGGGGCAATCATTTTCTGGCCCCTTCTCTAGTCTCACTTCCTTTTGACTGAGGGGTTTCTAATTTTGTTGGTGCCACAGCCCCACAGGCAGTCTGGTGAACCCCCTGGATCTCTTCTCAGAATCATGGATACATAAAATACCAAATAGGATTACAAAAGAAGGTCATTACATTGAAGTAACACTTCTATCCACGGACTCCTTGGGGGTTGGTGGACTCTAACAGGAAACAGCTTCGAATACTTATTGGGGGCCTGGAATGTCTCATTCTAGGGTGATTTTCACCCTGAATTTCCCACCCTGCCCTCTCTTAAGTTCTGGTCCTGTCCTGTGATTGGCTTGCTAGGAGCTTGCACTTGAGTTTAGGAACCTACAATGCAGCATGTTTTACACCAGCTCCCTCTTCTCTTACCCAACCTACTTCCAAGTAACCGCATCACGAGCTTCCCAAGTCTGGGAATCTTGCCGTGACTCCTCATCTCTCCCACACCTCCCACCTCAGCCAGCATCCAGGGCCTCCTGACATCATCCCTGCCCTGACTCCTGAGTCTGTCTTCTGTCATTCCTCGTACTAACACCCTTCCTGACCTCGCCGTTTCTCACCTGGATTCTTGCACTGCTCTTCTGATTCCCTGTCTGCCTCTCAATATAGAGAAGTCGGCACCATCATTCCCATCCCAGACAGGCCTGCCCATCCCTCTCCAGAATCAGTATGAATTTGTTCAGCTGCCCCTCCCAGCCTGCTGCAGCCTGGCCCTGGTCTCCTTTCCCTGTGTCTGGCTTTGTCCTGGTTGACTGAGTGGCTGATTTAAACAGCAAGCCTGTCCTTTTCATCTCAGTGACCTGAACCCTGAGTTACTCAATACAGGTTAGATTCTCAAATTCAAAGACAAATGATCAAATATTTAAATCTCATCCAAGCTTGGTGGAAATAACATTATTTTAAAAGGCTGGACTAGTTCTATGACCTCGAAATAGTATATTACCTATCTCTTCTCTAAAAAATAAATACCAGGGATTCAGGGACCAATTATTAAGAAGTTGTTCAAAAAAGGTGACCAAATTATATTTTCTACCCAGCTTGTCCTCTTATCAGAACAAGCACCAGATGGGGGATGGGCACACAGATAGCCACAACTCAAAAATTACAAAAGTAATTCATGTAACAAAAACATTTGAAGCAACTTAATATTTTGGAAAAAAAAAAAAAAAAGAACAAGCAAAGAGTCTAAACAACCAAGTTACCTTTGATTTCTGGGTAATAGAGAAAAGGTTTTGGTTCACTAGTTTCCAAATCAGATTTCCTTCGGAGTTGGACAAACACAGAGGCCGGCTTTGTAATGTTGACATCTTTATACTTTGGAGTTTTGAAGACGATGGCAAACTGCAGGATACAAACATCCAAATGTTGATGTCGGGTCACAGTTTTGTTTTGTAGCAATGCTACTCATTAAACACATTCCTTATGCTTTTATTATCCAGTGTACTAAAAAACAGCACGCTGGAGAAAGGTCCCAACTCAGAATTCTGTACCCATACATTTTTATTAAATTGTCACTGTGAAATTGCAATACATTGGTAAGCTAATGCATTGCAAATAGTTATTATTTCATCTGCCTACTATTTCAAATGTCTTCTAATTGCGAATGTCATACATACAAAATTCACTGCTTACATTTCATTCTTCTCTTCCAAATAAAGCCTTAAAAGCCTCCAAATTATGTAGAGTCGCATCAGAAAAGATGGGTTATAGAAAGAAAGAGAGGGCAAAAGGCCAGGGATACAAAGAGGAAACTAAACCCTGCCCGGGAGGGATCATACCCCATTAATTCTTGGTGGTGCTAGAACAGGTAGGCATTTTAACCTTTTTAGATTGATCTTCTGACTATGTAATATATTCACAGTGATGAAGGTTTTGTGAAGTATTAAAAAATACATAATGGTATACATTGATGATTCTCCTTGCCATCCCTGACCCTCATCCTTGCAATTCCGACAGTGCGCTAGTTCTCCAGAGGTAATACTGTTATCACGCGTAACTGCTTATGTATCCTTCCAGACTTTCTTTACGCATGTGCAAATACGAACACAGAATCATTTTCAAATACACTTTACTCTACTTTTATTTTTTAACATATGTTAACATTGCATCTTTGAGGTCTTCCTGTATTAGTTGGTAGAGTAATTGTTCTTTTCAATAACTGCACATTATTCCATCAACTAGATATACCATAATTTATTAAACTTGTCCCTTATTAAGGTACATCTGAATTGTTTCCATCTTTCTGTGGGTGAAAACAGTGTGCCTCAATCACTCATGAACAGGGGAGTAACCAGTGAAGTAGGGATTCAGCATTGTCATTTCTTAGTCATATCATCAACCAACACTGGAAAATCTTCACTTATGACGATGACATCAGTTTCAATTAGAAGACACCTTTCAACACGTAGAATACCTTTTTAACAGGTCTCACCAGAATTGATTTGGTAGAACATTTAAAACATTGTCACAAAAGGGCCTTAGTTAGGGCCACTGCCCTATGGGGATCAGACACCAAATGAAATATTTGTCAGTATCTTAGAGCCAGCAGTTTAAGAGAACCTTGTTCATAATTTCACAGTGGGTAACTTTTCTAGATGACATGCTAGAGTCTTAAAAACAGTACTGATGGATGGAAGTTAAATAAATATTAATGATTTTTTAAGTTTTCACATATGGAAACTAAGTACTGAATTTCAACAAGACAGAAAATGTAAAATGATAATCATCCACTTACTTGTCTATGAACATCTGTGGGGGAAAAGTCTCCAAATCCTTCCCAGACTCCACCATTTTCCTCTTCTTCATAAAAGCGAATCTGGATGTCATCTGCAAATGGTCACATTTCACATAGTATAACAATATTTACGAACATGCTCAAAAATAAAGCTGGTCTAAGA